AGCGAAGGGTCCTTATCTGTCCTGTATAGCGGTCCAAACCAAAGAGACTGTGGTCACTAACTTCCTGCAGTGAAAATAATAACCAGCCGTTGTATCCTATATCTGCGTCATAGGCTCTGACTTTAGTCACCAAATGACCTGCGTTCACATTACGGGGAATCTCTTCCACACCCTCAGCAGAACCGTTAGCGCTGACTGGATATAAGATCACTGGAACGTTGTCGTTCTGATCCAGAATAAACACGTTCACTGTCACGTTACTGCTAAGTGGTGGAGATCCTGAATCCTTTGCAAGAACTTGGAACTGAAACTTTCTAATTACTTCAAAGTCAAAGCGGTTTAAGGCGTAAATAACTCCTGTTTCAGAATTAATGTTCAAGAAAGTCGCTATATAATTTTGTGCAGTGTCCCCTCTAATCATATAGTAAGTAATCATTGCATTTTCATTTAAATCTTTATCAAATGCGCTCACAGACATTATGGGGGAACCAGGTGCGTTATTTTCTACTAAATATAATTCAAGCTGATCTTTAGAAAATTCAGGGCGGTTATCGTTAACATCTGATACCTGAACGCTCAGAGACTTAAAGGATGATAAAGGAGGCTGTCCTAAATCAGTGACTGTTATTGTTATGTCATAATGGGACACGAGCTCTCGATCTAATTTTCCCTTCGTTACAAGGGAATAAATATTCTCTTGAACTGATGGTTTCAGCTCAAAAGGAACATTATCAGAAACACTTGGTACTATCTTCCCATTTATACCAGAGTCTTTGTCACTGATGCTAATTAATGAAATTACAGTGCCAGGTTTAGAATCCTCAGAAACAACACTGGAAAGAGAAGTTACGTCTATTTCAGGGGCGTTGTCATTTATGTCTATTATCTTAATAGTAACGACAGATTCAACGATCCACGGAGGCTGGCCTTTATCAGATGCCTGTACGTCTAATTTGTACACCTCCGTTTCCTCAAAGTCCAGTTCACCTTTAATATGAATTTCTCCTGTGGCACTATCCAGTTTAAAGAGATCGTAAACTTTGCGCTTCAGGTTTCTTCCAAAGGCATATTCTACAACACCATTTGAACCCTCGTCCAAATCAGTTGCGTTAAGTTTTATCAACACAGTTCCGAGTGCAACATTTTCCTTTACTGCTACAGAATAGGAGTCTTGACTAAACACGGGACGGTTATCGTTAACATCAAGAACAGTAACAATTATGTTAAGATTTCCTGACCGTGGTGGATTTCCACCATCGATTGCAGTTAGTATTAATGTATGTTCTGCGGCGTTTTCACGATCAAGAGCTTTCTTTAAAACTAAAAGCGGTATTTTTTCCTCATCTCTATCCTTTGTCTCAACTTCGAAATGCTCATTATGACTCAGTTTATACGACCGAACATTATTCACGATCGTATCAGCATCTCGTGCTGCCTGTATTTGGAAACGCGTCCCTGTGGGTGTGTGTTCTGCAATTTCAAAATGCTGCTCCTCTTCTGTAAATGTGGGTGAATTATCATTAACATCAGTTACCTCCACTCCAACATAGTGTATCTCTAAAGGATCTTCGACCACCATTTTCAGATTAATCAAGCATGCGCCATTTCCATCACACAGCTCCTCTCTGTCAATTTTCTTATGGACATATAAGACGCCATTGTTTTGATTTACCTCAAAAAGAGCGTCCTTTGATCCAGAAACGATACGGAACCTCCTGTTTACTAAAGTGCTGACATCAAGGCCAAGATCCTTAGCAATATGTCCTACAATTGATCCTTCTTTCAATTCTTCTGGAATAGAATATCTTATCTGCGCTGAAACTTGCTGTCCAAAACACAGAAGCAAAGAGAAACACAAAGCAATCCACCAACACTCCCATTTGCGTCTTTGTCCTCCGGCTTCCATGATGGAACGATTACTGTGAGACTGCCAGAAATATATCCTCGGCGATTACAAACAACAGTATAACGTACAATTTATCTGCATAATGCAAAACAATTTAACTGAAAACATGCAGAGAACAGATCACATACTTAAACGCCTTTTCGGATCGTACCATCCAGGATAAGGAAGACAATACACGTCTGCGCGTCATTATCCTGGGCTGGACTTAAAACTTGAAAACAAAAATTAGAGCAACACTGACACTGAGTGGAGCATTGGACCTTTCAAGTCACCTCCAGCGTTAGCGTTTACAGTATCTTTCAATTTGCAGAACCTTGAACATTTCTTAAAATATGTTTTATGGTTGGAATTGAAAAAAAAAATCATTTTTATTAATCGGCAAAAAAAATATTTGCACACTTCATGTTGCTTCAAAAAACGAAGCGACAGACAGCGTTTGTCTCAACAAAAAATACAATATAATAATAATAATAATAATAATAATAATAATAATAAACTATGCACAAAAACTATGCAACACACATAGTGTGATTTTGGACACCAGCAGGGCTTGTTTAAAATAATATAAAATAGAGTTTATTCTTTTAAATAAAAGATTAAAATGTAGGCTACCTAAGAGTAAGCAACATCTTAAAGTCCATTTTGGGAAAAGTTGTGCAAACTGCAATAAATAATTGACATTATATAAATACCAATATAAATACCGAATAAAATCCTAACGAAAATCTAAGTAAAATTAAAATTACCCTTACCTCTCCAGAACCTCTCCTCCTGCGATCTGGGATCACTAGAGTATTTCCATTACTGCCAGGGACTATAGTAGAGCCGATACTCATTCTGGGTCCAACTAACATGTACCGTTTGTCTCCAGATCTGTACTGGATGCTGTGACACAGAGTCCCGTCGTAATTTGTGTCCTGTAAATACTTCGACGAATAGTCAGTCGATTTAGAGCACTGCATTATAATCAACACAATGATGCTGATGACAAAAAGCACCGAAACTGAACCCAAAGTGATGATCAAAAAAAATGTCACGTTGTTTTCCTCCTCGTCTTTTAATGTGTTTTTCACATCAGAAGCTGCAAAAGCCTCTTTGGGCTCCACAACTTTGACAATCACAGTCGCTGTCACTGAGAGTGAAACGTTCCCATTGTCTTTGACCAGTATGAGCAGTTTATGCTGGGCCTCGTCTGTTTCTGTGAATGAGCGAAGGGTCCTTATCTGTCCTGTATAGCGGTCCAAACCAAAGAGACTGTGGTCACTAACTTCCTGCAGTGAAAATAATAACCAGCCGTTGTATCCTATATCTGCGTCATAGGCTCTGACTTTAGTCACCAAATGACCTGCGTTCACATTACGGGGAATCTCTTCCACACCCTCAGCAGAACCGTTAGCGCTGACTGGATATAAGATCACTGGAACGTTGTCGTTCTGATCCAGAATAAACACGTTCACTGTCACGTTACTGCTCAGAGACGGAGTTCCAGAGTCTTTGGCCACAACAAAGAATTGAAATGTTTTTAAAGACTCAAAATCAAAACTCTTTAACGAGTAAACGGTACCATTCGCCTCATTAATACTCAGGAAAGATGTCATTGTTTGGTCTGAATTAATTCGATCAATTGAATACGATACACGTGCGTTTTCACCTTCATCTATATCAGCTGCACTTAATGAGAAAACAACAATTCCTGGTTTGTTGTTTTCAACCACGTAGAATGTATATGGGCTTTGAGCAAATGTGGGGCTGTTGTCGTTAACATCAGTGACATCGACGTGAATGGATCTTGTTGATGTTAACGACGGAGTTCCTAAATCTTTGGCTGTTATAGTGATATCATAAGACGATTTCGATTCTTTGTCAATGTATTCTTTAGTTACTAAAGAATAAAAGTTTCCATCAGGCGACGGCTTGAGGTCAAAGGGTATATCCTTAGGCAGAGAGCAAACTATCTTTCCGTTCATACCTGAATCCAGGTCTGTAACTCCCATCAAAGCTAGGACAGTCCCAGGAGGCGCATCCTCGGGAATGTGGCTGGATACTGAAGTGACGTCAATCTCAGGCCGGTTGTCGTTGACATCCTCAACATTTACAAGCACATTGCACTGTGTAGACGAAGACACGGCTCCCTTATCCGCAGCCAGTATCTTTAACTCATAAACCTGCCTTTCCTCAAAATTTAGCCCACCTTTTATCTTTAATTCCCCCGTCAAACTATCTAAATCAAAAACCTCAGATGCTCCGTTCCTGAACTTGTTCCGTAAAGAGTATTCAATTTCTCCGTTTAGTCCTTCATCTGAATCTGAAGCATTAACGCGGAGCAGAAATGTACCTTCAGGGGCATTTTCTTTCACAGTCACTGCGTATTTTTGTTTATCACAGACGGGAGTATTATCATTAACATCTGACACAATAATTGTAATATTCACAGTAGCTGATTTCTGTGGCTTGCCACCGTCTGTCGCAGTTAATATTAGGTTATGTCTTGCGCTTTTCTCTCTGTCAAGAGGTGTTTGTAAAATAAGGACAGGTATCTTACCTTCGTCTCCCATGTCTTCCGTTTCTAAACGAAAATAAAGATTCTGGCTCAGTTTATATGATTGCAAGTTGTTTGCGCCTACATCCGGGTCGTGCGCTGTTTCTAACTGAAATCGTGCACCTGTCATTGCAGATTCAAGTATTTCCAATTTATAGTTTTCGTCCAAAAAACTCGGTGGATTATCATTAACATCGATAATGTCAACTGATATCTGGTGCATTTCGAGTGGATTTTCTATCACTGCTTTCAGATGAATGAGACATGGGTTGGTTTTAGCGCACAGCTCTTCTCTGTCTATCCTCTGGTTCACAAACAAAGCGCTGTCTTTATGATTTACCCGAAAGAGCTCTTGCTTTGTCCCCGCAACGATACGCAAATTCCTGTTTTCCAGTAAAGCCTGATCAAATCCTAAGTCCTTTGCAATGTTCCCCACAGTGACTCCAGTTTTTGATTCTTCTTGAAGGGAATAGTTTATCTGGGCAGCATTTCTTCCGGAATTGAACAGCAGACACATCAGATAAAAAATCTTGCTCATCCATATTATTTTATTTTCGCTCGCCATGCTTTCTCTGAACACCGCTAAAAATAGTTGTAGCAAATGCGGTCAACTCATTTATGCTATTGCAAATTACAAATTAATAGACAGATCTCAAATCGTCCTGGTTGTTCATTGTTCAAAGCCAAAGTGATGTCTGACAAGACATCCCACGAAGTGAATCTGCTGAACACGACTGTCAGAGATGATTGGTATTGTAGCGCCACTCACAGCGATTTTGTAGAACTGCATAATTTCCTTCACAGTGCATCTTATACTATAAGACTTATAGTGATGTTAATGTGGATCAAAAATGAATAATAATAATAATAATAATAATTATTATTATTATCATTATTATTATTATAAATAATATTATACAATTTACAATTATACTGTTTATAATTATAAAATTGAGGCATCTCAACACCAAATGCACTACTACACTAAAAGAGAATCTCATTAGATTTAAAAAAAATAATAATATATATATACCTTTTTAAAATTTTTCCTTTCTTGAAATACGAAGAAGGATAGAGGTCTGGTGTAAGAAGGCAGGTCTTATAAGGCAATGGTCTGGTGTCTAACTGCATGGTGAGCAGTGACACCTTGTGGTTCAGTTATACAAATCACGTGACAAACTCGGCCCCACCTGCCTCTTTTGTTCTGCTCTCCCTCCCACCACAGCTGCTTACGTATGAGCTTTCCCATATCTAAACAAACCTCATACCAGGCAAAAGACACCAGGGGGCAGAGCGAAGTGATTCACGTCTCAAGTTCTTTTTTTACGGAAGTACTTTGTGGTAGTAGAGATCAAATATACACATCAATCACACATGTTCTCATATCATATAAAGGCGGTCATAGATTTTTTATACATTTGTGTGTTTACAGTGTGTGTATTTGACATAGACTGCCCGGATCTGGCGAGTTGAGCCTCTTGTCTATGCATCAAATTACAGGCTGCAGCATCATGCACCCCCTCCCTGCCCGCAGTCCGTTACCGTGGCAACGGACATTTGGACAGGCGGGTCGCTGTCCGTGGTGCTCAACATTGCGGTCCCCAGTGGAAAGCGTTAATGAAGGGAGGGGTTTGGGAAGACCTAAGGAAGACCAAATAAATTCGTCGCTCACGAAAGAAATCTGAGTGAAAACACTGTTATTTATTTATTTATTTATTTATTGAACATATTTATATTTTTTATCATTCCGTATAACATTATTCTCTCCTGTTTAACCCACGTTCCACCGTCTGTCTTTTATTCGGTCGCTATAGAGACAGGCTCCCGTTGCCTAGAAACCAGCAGTCAGCTGGATTTCTCAGATTGAGGCCTTTTTTCCTCTGCAGTGTTTCAGGAAAGCATGGTTGTTTTGATGGTGACACAGTTAGCTGAATTGTGGTTTAGACTTCTGTTCTGACAACAGGGATCTTTGTGTGTGTGCGTGTGTGTGTGGACCTTTATGATAAAATGCTGAGGACACATGTGTATGACAAATGAAAAGTGTGTGTGTTGTGTGTGCGCGCGTGCGTGCGTGTGTGTGTGTGTGAGTGTGTCTGCTGCGGCAGTTTTTAATAGTGCTGCAGTCTCTCTCTGTGCTGTAAGGCAGGAGGAGAGAAATCTGGGTCAGGAGGAAAAGAGAAGCAAAGAGCAGTTACTTGTTTTGTTTTTTTTCCAGTTTGTTCTGACCCACATCACAGAACCAGAACCAGGCAGTAAGCCAGCCAGGGCAGTGGTTAATGCTTTTTTATTTCTATTTAACATTTGTTAGGATTAACAGAAAAAAAGAGTTTATGATGAGAATCCAAGAAGAAGACTTGAGAATCCAAGTGTGGTTTTATAGTGAGTTTTACATCTAAAGAAAAAAATGCAGATATGAAATGTGGTCTGCCTGATTTTCTTCAATGCATTACTTCATCTGCAGTGATGACCTCATCTTTACCCACCCAAACAAAAGCACACTCACCTACCACCCCACACAGATGAGAATCATGCAAAGAAAGAAGATTAATATAGGTCACTTTGATTGTATCACTGATGATCAGAAGGTAGATAAGTCATAATCATAAACACTGTCTTTCTCTTCCCTGTTTAAAAGATAATCATAATAGTATACTGTACAAACAACATGTTTTTATTTTTATTTTACCTCAGTGCATGTGTTCAATTGGGCTACAGGATCATTGCTACTCACATACTGAGAAGTCATTTAAAATCTGAAATCATATTACAAATGCAATGTCCCATCAACGTTATGTACTTCTGAATTACATGGAGAATGACAGAAATCACATTATTTTCAATTAAGTTTTTATCTATTGTAAATATGCAGTACAAATACATCAGTAGATACTCATGAGCAAAGAAGGTCTGGTAGTTTCTCTAAGGCAGATCATGGGTGTGTTCAGCTTTAAGTAGGCAGTTTGTCTGCTTTAGAGCACAAATGCTGGTAGAAAATGAATTAGAAAAACATTTGCTTAACTGTATAAAGATTAATTGGACAGCAGGGGAATGAAAAGGAAATATATGGGACTACAGGGCAGTGCTGTATATAGGTAGTGCATTTTTATATCACAAAATTAGGTTTTTGGGTAAATGAATTCTAGTCACTATTCTGTGCCGTGAGAGACGAGTGACCTACTTACAGCTGCTCACACTGACAGACATATTGAACTTTAATATTTTGTCATTCTACTAAAATGTATCTTTCTTTCTCTCTGATTGTCTCACATAATGTTATCTTACAACACTGCTCATGTCTGAGCATTAGCCAATCCTCTGAGACAGCTAGTTAAGAGCCTTAAAATGATTACTTCCTGTTTAAAATACCACATGTAAACATCCAGCATTTGTTTCTCTAAAACAGAAAATCGAATGAGAATTGGGCAGATGTATTTTGTAATGTTGCATTGCTTTGACAAAACACACATGCTGTGCATTCCAGAGCGAGCCAGTCACTGAACTGACCCCATGACACCCTGACCTTTTGACCTGCCTGGGAAAACTGCCATACCCTCAGGAAGTTAGGAATAAATGACACTGCAGAAAGGCTGGAAACTATCAGAAAAACAACAATACCATTTTGTTCACTGAAATAAAATATTGATGTCCATATACTGCACAACTGATATAGCCAGCAAATACAAAATATCAACAATAAAAAAGCAGCAATATGAAAGTTTATATTAATGCATTAATACTAATACACAATATTAACATCAGGAATTGAAAATAAAGAGAAGAAAATAATATTTGGCTAGTGCATTTCAATGCACAAAGCTATGCATTTTCATTTTTTTCCCAAAGCATTTCCATGAATATTAAACACATTTCCTAATATTAGATAATTATACAGTTGATAAGTAAACATCAGCAGTTCTCATCTTTTCTTGTTTTAAAGCAAATAAAACCCATCCACCACCTTGAGTGCTCTTTACATTTAGCCTTATTTCAAAGATTTAATGAAGTCTGATGGTTGATCTCTGAAATATTGTGGTGTTTTTATAAAGGACAAAATGAAGGAACTCGCTGTTTAACAGTCTCTATTAGAAGTCAGTGGGTTTTTATCTGAGACAGAAATCTTGGGCATCAGGGAGAGGCTACTTAATGAATCTCCTAAACTCATCTTAGAAACCGCTGTGACCTTCAGATGTCTGCACTATGATATCACTGTGCTGTGTCTGCGTTTGTGCATTCATGAATGTCACCAGACACCACAGAGGAAGCAGTCATGATGATTTTACAGCCTGCACTACACTCTATGATCGTATTAGGAGAGATCATAACTACAATGATACTCTACACTTTCTGAGTCAGATCAGTGCTTAGATTCAACTTGATTCTTTACATACTGAAACGTAAAAATACCGACACAAACAGCAATACAGACATAATACAACACTACAGAGATAAGCAAAGACTATACGGCACCACAAATTTGCTGTGACCTCTTCTGAATACACTGGATAATACTTGCATTATTCTGAGAGAAGTTTTTATGAGATCCAAGAAAACACATAAGGCTTTATACATCCATTGCAGGGAAAGAGAAGCTTTCAGTGTCCAAATTCAGTCTAGCAAAAGCTCCACACTCCATCTCTCAACATGACTGAATCATTTAATCCTCTTTGTGCTTGTTTAATATAATTCACATTGCAAAAAAAATCCCATTTGTCATTAGTATCTACTGATTAAGAATGGTTTTTTTTTTTTGCAATTCAGTGTCCACACCAGTTCATATGATAATATTCTGTTAATAATTTATCTCCCCAATGTCTTTACCAGTCACTAAATATAACAAAGAAATATAGGGGAACTCTAACCATGCAAACATAAGCATACTGGTTTTGCAGAACAGTTTCTTTGATAAAGACATGAGCTGTGCTGTTTGAAGATATGCATGTGTGTGTGTGTGTGTGTGTGTGTGTGTGTGTGTGTGTGTGTGTGTGTGTGTGTGCGTGCTCACAGATCCAGTCCAAGTCCAATCTTGACCGGTCAGGTTTAAGAGTATCTCTTAGTATCATAGGCAAAAGATCTTCGTCATTCCTCTGGTCAGACCTGGGCAAACTCTCCAAACACTGATGTGAAGATGTAGGCATCATTCAGGGTTGGTTTCAGGGTTGTATGATGGTGCAGGGGAATATGATGGATACAGGTGGACAGACATGCAGGTTGATGGAACTTTTTTCATACATTGCTCTGGCAATATGGTTGGGAGGATCCTCAGGTGGAACTGCTGCTGGTGGTGGTGGATGCCTGTCAACGAGAAAGAAACACTGGATGTAAGAGGCTAGACTTAAGATATTACTCACTTAGTGAGAGGCCAGAATCTGAACACATCTCATGCAACCAAGGCCTGTCACTTAAAGGCTTCAGGCAAAACGGAAGGTGGAACCTTGGTTTGATTGACAGGTGACGGGGGGTGGGTTGATCAATGAGAACCATGCTCAGATATCAGGTGAGAGTGGTTGGGGTGATGCAAGGGCAGCGAGCTGAAAACTGGGTGGTTGTAATTTGTTTTGCATCACTCTGATTCATTTGTGAAGAGAAATTCAACAGAACCAGTATGTGAAATTGGAATCCACCAGTCAATTCACCAACCATTCAAACACACAAGTAGACAAACCATCCAACAAACAGGCTGAGGAGCTCATAATGATGTTTAGTAGATGAACAGTCAGTACATATATCATTAAAAACCAGATCATGCACTAGAGCCATATTTGCTAAAAAACAATCTTCCTAATCAGTGTTTAAGGGAACATTATTCTGCCACTTACTAACCCATCTGTCATTTCAAAACTTTGACTTTTTCATCTGTGGACAACAAAAAGAAAAAAAATGTCCTAGATGATTTTTTTTCAGACTATGAAAATGAATGAAAACAGACACTGTCAAGAACATTTAAAGATAATAATCACTTGGTTTTTAATATTTGTTGGGAAATTTGACAGCCTCCATTCCTTGTCACTACCATTGTCGAGAAAAAGAGCAGCATAAACATTCTTCCACAAAACAAAGAAAATCATTTGAGTTTGGAAAGACATGAGGGTGAGCAAATAATCCATTTTTACTTCTGTATGAACTTTCTTTAACTGATTAAGTAATGTATTTTGGCAGGAAAAATGTATATGAGCAACACTTTCACCCCAGCCACTGTCAATCAAACCACAGAGAATCAGTTATTATAAGCATTTCTGCTGGTCACAGGTGTCTATAAAAGGTGGGGTTTGTGAGGCTGCATAACATAATTTGTACTGAAAAAAAGTACAAGTTTAGTTTAACAATTGAGTTCCACAAGTAAAAATAAAGACTGCAAAGTTTAAATCTAGCAGCCTGTACATCTAAAAAGCTCAGATGACCAAGTGAAATGTCAAACTGAGTGTTGATGTTGACCTGTTAAAGCATTTATCTGCATCTAAACTGAACAAAACTGATTTGAATTCAGTTGTATAAACTGGCTCCTTGGCTCCTCCTACAACAGGACAGGGCAAACTCCACTGACAAAAACCACCAACCACAAAGAGAAACACACAGAGTCACATATATTTCAGTAAAGGTCAATGGGCCCTGGGATCAGGCGCTCCAGAAATCGAGAGGATGGTGAAGTCAGGGCTGCATACCTCCAGCGGGAGAGGGGACCTCGTTCATTTTGAGTACTTTAAAACGGAAACAAAAACAGAGACATACATTTCAATATTTAGCTTTCAGCACAATCATTTTGATGAATTTCACTGAACACTTTTCTGTCAACAAAACCACAATTCACATTGATCTTTACTTATTTATACCAGTCTAAGCTTGTTTTTTTTAGATCTACAGTGCACTAACAAATCAAATCAAGAAAAGACAGATAAAATGTTCTGTTGTCCTCTTTTTAAACATTGTTGTCTGAGACAGGGACTCCAGGTAACCTGCGACACAATGTGAAAAAATGTTAATGCATAACAAATGAAGCAAAACAAATTACATTATACAATTCAAAAAGAAGCACTAAGAATGAGAGCATGAGAGGAGAGACAGATTAAAATACATTGTTTACATGAAAAAAGGCTGCACAAAAAAGGGAAAAGTTAAAGACTTCCTCATTTTGTCTTTCAATGACTTACCTGTCCTTCAGGTAACACTCTCTAACAGAAGAGAACAAGTTAAACAAATGCAAAAGAAAAAAATCATGATCATACAAATAAACAAAGCTAAAAAAAAATAGCAAGTGCCTAATCAAATTCAAATTTATCATGTTCAGAAAATAAAACATTATTTAGCCATGTTCACTACATTTATGGAAAATAAATTAAAACGAAAATAAACAATTATACGTTGCTTGACGTCGCACAACAAGTGCTACTGCAAGGGATTTATGCCAATGCTAAGAAACACAGTGGACCCAACAGTTTTTGGATACTGAAGCCACACTTTAAAAAATAAAAAAAATAAAAAAATATTTTGTTCGTTTATGCAATAAAACTCATGCAAACCAAGCAGCAACTGCCAAAGTTTGACTGAACTATCCAAATATTTGTGGGGCCACTGTAGTGTGCTTTGTGTGTGTGTGTGTGTGTGTGTGTGTGTGTGTGTGCAATCTGACATGGGTATGACATACTGTAGGTATTACAACGAGAAGGTGATTATTGAGGACAATATTTCAAAAGGCTTTTTTTGAAAATCTAAAAATGCAGAAAGTTTCCTGTGAGGGGTAGGTTTAGGTGTAGGGTAATATAAAATATGATTTGTACAGTATAAAAACCATTACGCCTATGGAATGTCCACACAATTCACAAAAACAAACCTCTGTGTGTGTGTGTGTGTGTGTGTGTGTGTGAAAAAAAACTTGGAACATGGGAGACAAACATTTTAGCACAAATGTATCACAACATGGGCTTATGAACATCAGAACTGCAAGTGAAACAGCAACAGCAGGTAAGAAAAGTAGGTCAAGCAGTTCTGAGAGAGAAGCAACACATCACGCAACATGCTTGCACAAATATACATTTCATACACACACACAGACAATCTCTTTCACTGTGGCAGCTGGCTCAGCTAGAGGGAAGCTGAGAGTATATGTACAACAGGTAAGATATATGGGGCTGTAGAATTGTAGAATTAGAACAAGCACAGCAAAAACACACAAAGTACACCGTAAATTCAGTATACTTACATAGTTCTTTGCGGGTTGTAATCTAAAGCGTTACCCAAACATTTTCAAGAAGGCAATGTTCACTTCTGTCATTTTGTCTGAACAAATATAAGCATATATATTTAAAAGTGTATGTGAACTTTTAAGAAAAGAAAATGAAGTGTAACTGACTGTAAATAAAAAGAACAGTACTGGATTGAGTCCAGAAGAAAGAGAAAGAGAAAAAAATGCACATATACAAACTCTTAATGTTCAAGAGAAGATGTGCTAAGAACAACTGAAAAACACTCCCTATTGAATTTTAGCATAACTTGAAAGGCAGAAGATGAATATAAGCATCTCAGAGAGAATAGTTTGGGCTTACAAAGTGTTTGGCTAAAGGCTGAAAAGTCAAACTGTATACACTGTTGTTTGGCTTCTTTGAAGAACTAATTCAGCTGTTGACGGTATATAAGCCTACCTGTAGAGTAGAAGCAGCTGAGTCGCTGGTCTCGGTCAGTCCTGTGCTCCTCGGTATACTGGACACCATGTATCTCGCTCCCTTTGGCACAGGCTGTCTGACCACCAGCTTTCCTTTCCTCGTCTCTGCTAGAAATAAACTGTACCAGTAGGCATCGTTGGAGACCAGAGTGGAATCCGCGATGGTCGAGTTCCTCTCGCTGATCACACTGTTCCTGCACGGAGGAGCCGCTTTGCTGGGCTTCGTTTTCTGACACTTCAGCACGATGGTGACCAATATAGTGATGAGTAAAAGAAATGAAACAGAGCCCAGTCCGATCACCAGATACAGGTTTAAATCGGAGAAGATGTCATATCCCAAAGGCACCTCAGTCATGTCAGCATAGGTTTTAAGGGCGGTCTCCACCGTGGACAGTTTGATGGTGACTGTAGCAGAGAGCGCGGGCTCTCCGTTGTCCTTGGCGATCACAACCAGCTGCTGGTGGCGCGAGTCTCTGTAACTGAACATTCTCATGGTCCGGATCTCTCCGTTATATTGATCTAAGCTGAATAATGTGGCGTCAGTGTTGTGGAGGAACTGGTACGTGATTCGAGAGTTGTGCACTGAATCAGAGTCTATGGCGATGACTTTGGCTATCAGAGTTCCTTTATCGGTGGATCTCGGGATCTTTTCCTCCACCACCGAGCCGTGCGCGCGCCATGGAGACACTATAAGCGGCGTGTTGTCGTTCTGATCCATGATAATAATGTGAACGGTCACGTTACTGCTGAGCGGAGGAACGCCAGAGTCTCTGGCCTCGATGTGGAAAAGGAACTCCTTCTCTATCTCATAGTCAAACGTCTTTAGCGCGTAAAGATTCCCGTTCTCTGGGTTAATAGAGAACAGCATGGACATGGAGGTGTTCACTATTTCCTTCTCTATTATAAAATAAACTAGATACTGATTTTCATGGAGATCTGGATCTATAGCAGTTAAAGAGCTCAGTAAAGCTCCAGGCGCGTTATTCTCCATAACAGGTATCGTGTAGAATGTCTGTGGGAACTGAGGAACATTGTCGTTAACGTCCAGCAGCTCTAAAGTTATAGTTTCATTATCAGATAACGGCGGGTTGCCCCTGTCAGTCACGGTAATAGTGATGTCATATTCTGGAACCTTTTCACGGTCTAACGGTTCTGAAACTAATAATTCATAATAATTATCAGACGATTCTTTGAGCGCAAAAGGTAAATCATCAGAAATATGAATATCTACCTGTCCATTTTCTCCTGAGTCTTTATCACTCACACTAACAACTGCAATTACTGTATTTACAGCTATATCCTCTTTCACTGGACTTGAGAATGATTTTATAGAAATTTCAGGATGATTGTCATTCATATCTGTGATTAAAATCTTTACTTTACATTTCCCAGAAAGACTATTGGCTCCTTTATCTGTTGCTATAATTTCCATATCATAGATCCTGAAATCCTCATAATTAATCATCTCTTTTACTCTGATTTCACCACTGTCAGGCTTTACTTCAAATGCTGTCTGTGTTTTCTCAGATGTATACAGACTAAAAGAATAAGTGATATGTGAATTGGAGCCTTCATCTCTATCTGTCGCGTTTAATTTTACAACAAGACTTCCTATTGGTGAGTTTTCTGTTAGATTTATAGTATAACTGTCTTTATCGAATTGAGGGCTCTAAAGTTATAGTTTCATTATCAGATAACGGCGGGTTGCCCCTGTCAGTCACGGTAATAGTGATGTCATATTCTGGAACCTTTTCACGGTCTAACGGTTCTGAAACTAATAATTCATAATAATTATCAGACGATTCTTTAAGCGCAAAAGGTAAATCAACAGAAATATGAATATCTACCTGTCCATTTTCTCCTGAGTCTTTATCACTCACACTAACAACTGCAATTACTGTATTTACAGCTATATCCTCTTTCACTGGACTTGAGAATGATTTTATAGAAATTTCAGGATGATTGTCATTCATATCTGTGATTAAAATCTTTACTTTACATTTCCCAGAAAGACTATTAGCTCCTTTATCTGTTGCTATAATTTCCATATCATAGATCCTAAAATCCTCATAATTAATCATCTCTTTTACTCTGATTTCACCACTGTCAGGCTTTACTTCAAATGCTGTCTGTGTTTTCTCAGATGTATACAGACTAAAAGAATAAGTGATATGTGAATTGGAGCCTTCATCTCTATCTGTCGCGTTTAATTTTACAACAAGACTTCCTATTGGTGAGTTTTCTGTTAGATTTATAGTATAACTGTCTTTATCGAATTGAGGGGCGTTGTCATTAGTGTCCAGAACGCGCACAATAATACTAGCGGTGCCAGAGCGAGCGGGGACTCCTCCATCCACAGCAGTGAGTATCAGATTATGAATGGCCTGCTCCTCGCGATCTAAAGCTTTTTTCGATATTAAATCAGCAAATTTTGAACCATCCCTCCCTGTCTGTATTTCAATATCAAAGTTTGCACTCTCACTCAAATGATAACTTTTAATGGAATTTGAACCTATATCAGGGTCAACCGCATTACTTAGAGAAAACCTCTCGCCAACAGCAGTAGATTCAGAGACGTCCAAATTAATCGTATCCCTACGGAAGTAAGGCGCATTGTCGTTAATGTCCATTATTTCCAATTCAATGTTAAATATACGAACTGGGTTCTCAAGTATTACTTCCATTTTTAAATAACAAACTGTTTTTGATGTGCAAAGATACTCTCTGTCAATGCGCTCCAAAATAAACAGGTCTCCGCTGTCTTTGTTCACATCCAGGTATTTCTTATTTGCAAGGATATCTAACCTAATTTTTCGTCTTCCTAACGTTTGCACATCGATTCCTAAATCTGCAGCCAAATTCGCAACCACAGAGCCTACCTCCATCTCCTCCGGAATAGAATAATGGGTGACAGACGACGCCGTGTAAACCAGTGCCGAAAGCAGAAGTAATGTTGCGACGTACTTCATCATTATAGGCTGCACATCCATTCTGTCTGTTCAGCTTGTTGTCTTTGCGAGCCCAAAACACAGCTGTCCTTAACAATGATGATCGCAAATGCAACTATTAGCTCCTTTATCTGTTGCTATAATTTCCATATCATAGATCCTAAAATCCTCATAATTAATCATCTCTTTTACTCTGATTTCTCCATTGTCAGGATTCAGACTGAATGTCTGCTGTGTTTTTTCTGACGTATACAGACTAAAAGAGTAAAATATATCGGAATTCGTTCCTTCATCTTTATCAGTGGCGTTTAATTTCACTACAAGGCTTCCAATAGGCGCGTTTTCTGTTAGATTTATATTGTAACTGTCTTTATCGAATTGAGGAGCGTTGTCATTCGTATCCAAAACGCGGACAATAATGCTAGCAGTACCAGAGCGCGCGGGGACTCCTCCGTCCACAGCAGTGAGTATCAGATTATGTTTAGCTTGTTTTTCTCGGTCTAATGACTTTTTCAGTATCAAGTCAGCAAACTTAGATCCGTCTCGTCCAGTCTGAATCTCAATACTAAAATGGTCGCTTTCACTGAGATAGTATGTCTTTACCGAATTTGACCCTGTATCAGGATCTACAGCATTAGTGAGGGAAAATCTCTCTCCTATTGCTGTTGCCTCTGATATGTCTAAATGCATTGTATCTCGTCGGAAACGTGGCGCATTATCGTTTATGTCCATTATTTCAAGTTCAATATTAAACATTCGAATAGGATTCTCTAATGTGGCATCCACTTTAAGCAGACAAGTTGTGACCGATTTAATTGGGCACAAATTCTCTCTATCAATCCTTTCTAAAATGTACAGCTCCCCAGTATCTTTGTTAACGTCAAGATATTTTTTATTTGCGACGACATCCAAACGTATTTTACGTTTACTAAGGCTTTTCAAATCCAATCCCAAATCAGACACCAAATTTGCAACCACAGTCCCTTCGTCCATCTCCTCTGGAATTGTGTAGTGAGTAACAGCGGATGCTGTCTGAAATACAGCCGCAATGAATACGAAGATCGAGACGTACCTTAACCAAAGCCGTGCTTTCGGTTCCATTGTTTTGATTTTCCTTATATTGCACACAGAAAGCAGGTCCAAAGTGTTCCAAAACGTGGATTTGTTTCAAGACAATAATTCGCGCAATGACATGTAAGAAAATACAACTGGACCAATAAATGAAAGAGTGAATAGTCCTGCCTGAAAGAACGAAAGACTGCAATGTTGCCCACAAATGAAGAATCCGCAATGGCGACGACGGCGGCAGTATGACTAGAAAAGTGTTTTCTTGGTGGACAGCGACTCTATGCGCACAGGAGTGAGGAGTGCAATGTAAAGAGTAGCATTAGAAAAGTGTAACATTAGAAAAGTATTTTAAAATATTTCACGTTGGTTAAGGTATGAATCAAAAACTTTAAAATAAAATGAAAGAAAAAGTCAGAATACCTATAATAAAGCATTTCGTATATGCAAACCAAAGCAAATGACAAGTGCAAGTCGGGTAATTTACAAAACAGTGTGCCAATAAAAATGCTTTATGTCAAAGGTGATTAACGCAAGCAACAAGTCTCCTAACTGAACGCGACAAAAATGTAGAGGTTTAATGCAGCTGAATTATCTCCGAACAATAAATAACTGCATTGCAATGCGTAAAATTGATGCAAAATATTACTTGTCTCCTGAGCGGATTTATTGACAAGTACAAGCAAAATAAATGCAAATACGCAAAGTTAAACCTAAAAGAACAATTTACTTCACCAGGAAGAAAAGATCCGTAGATTTTATTTGACTTTTTTATTATTATTATTCACTATGTGGCAGTGCTTACCTGTAGAGTAGAAGCAGCTGAGTCGCTGGTCTCGGTCAGTCCTGTCTGTTCAGCTTGTTGTCTTTGCGAGCCCAAAACACAGCTGTCCTTAACAATGATGATCGCAAATGCAAGGCATTCAGCAGAATCAAATATTGACTTAGTTTCCACCTGCGTTCTACAGAAGTGTCACAGCGTTAGTCAATGCAGAAAGCCAGCAGAAGCACTTGCATCCCCGCACGCTTTTATAAAGACTCGCTGGTGAGCATGAACTGTCATGGCGACTACAAAATAAATAAATAAATAAATAAATGTAAATTGACGTTTTTGTTGGGGCACAGCGACCCGTTGCGCATGTTTTGAAGAATTACCACAAATATATAAAATAAATTCAAAATAACATTCGTAACTCATTTTCGTCATCAGAGCGGAAATGTGTCAACTAAAAATATGAGAACTCAGTCGAAATGAAATAACAGAGCACTACGTTATTTTAAATAAATACTGAACTTTAAATTCAAATGTATTTTTATGCAGTTCAAGTTACCTGTAGAGTAGAAGCAGCAGAGTCGCTGGTCTCGGTCAGTCCTGTGCTCCTCGGTATACTGGACACCATGTATCTCGCTCCCTTTGGCACAGGCTGTCTGACCACCAGCTTTCCTTTCCTCGTCTCTGCTAGAAATAAACTGTACCAGTAGGCATCGTTGGAGACCAGAGTGGAATCCGCGATGGTCGAGTTCCTCTCGCTGATCACACTGTTCCTGCACGGAGGAGCCGCTTTGCTGGGCTTCGTTTTCTGACACTTCAGCACGATGGTGACCAATATAGTGATGAGTAAAAGAAATGAAACAGAGCCCAGTCCGATCACCAGATACAGGTTTAAATCGGAGAAGATGTCATATCCCAAAGGCACCTCAGTCATGTCAGCATAGGTTTTAAGGGCGGTCTCCACCGTGGACAGTTTGATGGTGACTGTAGCAGAGAGCGCGGGCTCTCCGTTGTCCTTGGCGATCACAACCAGCTGCTGGTGGCGCGAGTCTCTGTAACTGAACATTCTCATGGTCCGGATCTCTCCGTTATATTGATCCAAGCTGAATAATGTCGCGTCAGTGTTGTGGAGAAACTGGTACGTGATTCGAGAGTTGTGCACTGAATCAGAGTCTATGGCGATGACTTTGGCTATCAGAGTTCCTTTATCGGTGGATCTCGGGATCTTTTCCTCCACCACCGAGCCGTGCGCGCGCCATGGAGACACTATAAGCGGCGTGTTGTCGTTCTGATCCATGATAATAATGTGAACGGTCACGTTACTGCTGAGCGGAGGAACGCCAGAGTCTCTGGCCTCGATGTGGAAAAGGAATTCCTTCTCTATCTCATAGTCAAAAGTCTTTAGCGCGTAAAGATTCCCGTTCTCTGGGTTAATTGAGAACAGCATGGACATGGATGGTCTAACGGTTCTGAAACTAATAATTCATAATAATTATCAGATGACTCTTTGAGCGCAAAAGGTAAATCATCAGAAATATGAATATCTACCTGTCCATTTACTCCTGAGTCTTTATCACTCACACTAACAACTGCAATTACTGTATTTACAGCTATATCCTCTTTCACTGGACTTGAGAATGATTTCATAGAAATGTCAGGATGATTGTCATTCATATCTGTGACTAAAATCTTTACCTTACATTTTCCAGAGAGACTATTGGCTCCTTTATCTGTTGCTATAATTTCCATATCATAGATCCTGAAATCCTCATAATTAATCATCTCTTTTACTCTAATTTCTCCATTGTCAGGATTCAGACTGAATGTCTGCTGTGTTTTCTCTGATGTATACAAACTATAGGAGTAAATTATATTTGAATTGGAGCCTTCATCTTTATCTGTCGCGTTTAATTTCACTACAAGGCTTCCAATAGGTGCGTTTTCTGTTAGATTTATAGTATAACTGTCTTTATCGAATTGAGGGGCGTTGTCATTAGTGTCCAGAACGCGCACAATAATGCTAGCAGTGCCAGAGCGCGCGAGGACTCCTCCATCCACAGCAGTGAGTATCAGATTATGTGAAGCTTGTTTTTCTCTGTCTAAAGGCTTTTTCAGAATTAAATCAGCAAATTTGGACCCATCCCTTCCTGTTTGTATTTCAATGTCAAAATGTTCGCTCTCACTCAAATAATAAGTTTTAATCGAATTCGGTCCAATATCAGGATCCACCGCATTACTGAGCGAGAATCTCTCCCCAGCTGATGTAGATTCTGATATATCCAAACGGATCGTATCCCTCCAAAACTTGGGAGCATTATCATTGATATCTGTAATTTCAATTTCAATATTAAACATTCGAACAGGATTCTCGAGTATCACTTCCATTTTGATAAAACACGTCGCTGTTTTAACACTGCAAAGATACTCTCTGTCCATCTTTTCTAAAATAAAGAGCTCTCCGGTTTCTTTGTTGACATCCAGATACTTTTTGTTAGATCTAATATCGAGTCGCATTTGTCGTCTGCTGAGTGTTTTCACATCCAGTCCCAAATCTGATGCCAAATTAGCGACAACGGAGCCTTCCTCCATTTCTTCTAGGATGGAATAATGTGTAACAGCGGACGATGTGTCCAAAATAGCGGAGAAAAACAGAAGGACTGTTACATACCTCCAAAACTGTGACTTTACGCGTCCCTCCATTCTGCAACATTTGAGATATTTATATTCCTCGCGATCATGAAATTGGTTGAGAAACGAATGGCGCACAGAGCGAAGCTCTTGTCATGGCGCGTTCTTTGTGCGCTTTCCTCCTATGGAAATATGTCATGATGAATGTGATTATGACCAAAAGCGTTTACTTAGAGAACAGCGACGCTCAGTGAGTTTGATCTGAACATACACAATAAGAAAGGAACAGCCTTTCTTACAATAAGTATTTTTTATATATTTTTTTTTTCGCGTTATTTGTATGTTATGATTCTTTTTCCTGTTTTAATGGATGCCAAGACAATATGTGATAACAGATAAAGAGCCTCAAAATATAAAAAAACACGGATAATTAAAAAAAAATGTATTACAATATAAGAGGAGAAAAGTATCTTGTATTTTCTCAGCCTGACAAATACTGCAGCATGAACCCCGTCTAATTTTACATCCTGAAAAGAAATTGTGCGTGAACCGTCGTGAAAATCTCTCTTAGATTATTGAGTGGATTGTTTTACCTGTAGAGTAGAAGCAGCTGAGTCGCTGGTCTCCTGTCAGTCACGGTAATAGTGATGTCATATTCTGGAACCTTTTCACGGTCTAACGGTTCTGAAACTAATAATTCATAATAATTGTCAGACGATTCTTTGAGCGCAAAAGGTAAATCATCAGAAATATGAATATCTACCTGTCCATTTTCTCCTGAGTCTTTATCACTCACACTAACAACTGCAATTACTGTATTTACAGCTATATCCTCTTTCACTGGACTTGAGAATGATTTTATAGAAATTTCAGGATGATTGTCATTCATATCTGTGATTAAAATCTTTACTTTACATTTCCCAGAAAGACTATTGGCTCCTTTATCTGTTGCTATAATTTCCATATCATAGATCCTGAAATCCTCATAATTAATCATCTCTTTTACTCTGATTTCACCATTGTCAGGATTCAGACTGAATGTCTGCTGCGTTTTCTCTGAAGTGTATAAACTATATGAATAAAGTATATCTGAATTTGAGCTCTCGTCTTTATCTGTCGCGTTTAATTTCACTACAAGACTTCCAATTGGTGCGTTTTCTGTTAGATTTATAGTATAACTGTCTTTATCGAATTGAGGGGCGTTGTCATTAGTGTCCAGAACGCGCACAATAATGCTAGCAGTGCCAGAGCGCGCGGGGACTCCTCCATCCACAGCAGTGAGTATCAGATTATGAACTGTTTGCTCCTCACGGTCCAAAGCTTTCGTCAAAATTAAATCGGCAAATTTCGATCCATCTCTTCCTGTCTGTATTTCGATGCTGAAATGAGTACTATCACTTAAGTAATACGACTTCACGGAATTACTTCCGATATCTGGGTCGAAAGCATTGTTCAAAGAAAACCTCTCCCCAGCTGAAGCAGACTCTGATATATCCAAGTGCATTGTGTCTCTCCTAAAATGTGGTGCATTATCATTGATATCAATTATTTCTATTTCAATATTAAACATTCGAATTGGGTTTTCTATTGCAGCATCTAGCTTCAGAAAGCAGGTTAATTTGGAATTGCAGAGATGTTCTCTGTCTATCTTCTGTACGACATACAGCTCTCCGGTTTCTTTGTTAATATCAAGATATTTTTTAGATGCGATCGGGTCCAAACGCATCTTCCGTCTGTTTAACGTTTTAACATCCAACCCTAGATCAGCTGCTAGATTTGCAACCACGGATCCTTCCTCCATTTCCTCAGGGATAGAATAGTGAGTTACTGTAGACACTGGCTTTAAGGATGCGGAGAGAAGAAGACACATCCAAACGTACCTTAAAATCTGGTTCGGGGCTCTCACAATGGAATCCATAGTTTGTGAGCTCGGTGTAGACCTACT